GTCCCAGAGGCCCTGTCACCTGGGTTGCTCATTCAATAGGGCAGGTGGACCTCGGGGTCTGTATTTGGACAAGCAGGAAGCCAGGGGCACTGGTGGATATTTTTAAACTCACTGCCCACCTAGAAGAAGCTCCCGAGGGAGCCGCACTGCAGTGCGCTGGCTCTTCAGGGGGATGCCATTGAGACGCAGGCTTTGATGTCATGTAACAGGGTTTATGGCGGGTGGTGTGTGATGTGGCCACTCCATTCTCTTTCTGTGTGTGCATGCACACACTACACTCACACATGCTCACACTCACACACACACACACCCCACTCACACACCGCACGCATATGCACACACATGCACCCTGATTTTATTTTGTTACAGTCACATAGAAAGTACCGCTCTCTAGTGTGTCCAGACTCTGTGATGTGTGAGTGCACTAACTGCCCCTAGCACTCTGAGAAATGTGTCCCTAGAGCAGTGGCCCCAAGCAATGCTGGCCTAGCTCCACCCAGGGCTCACTGAGAAGCAGATGGAAACAGAGGTTCTGGTGTTCACTGCGTCATCGTGGTCCTGGCAGAAAACTGTAAATACTCCTAATGCATCTGTTGATAGAGGTGTATTCACGTGATGGGATACTCTCTGGCAGTTAGAATGAATAAGCTACAGCAGGGGTCGCAGACTACAGCCTGTGGGCCAACTCTGGTCCACAGCCTGTGTTTGTACAGTAGTCTGCAAGCTAAGAATGCTTTTTAACATTTTTAAAGGGTAATAAGAAACTAAACAACAACAAAAAAATACAGGAGAATAAGTGACAGAGACGAGATGTGGCCCACAAATCTCAAAATATTTACTATCTGCCGAACAACTGGTGGGATTATTGATTTTTACTGGATTAGAAGGCTTGGTACCATAGTCTTGGGGACAACTTAGTCAACTGGCGTAACATAATTCACAAAGATAGTGTTAATGTTCTACGTCCTGTATCAGTGACTAGCATTTGAGGTCTTAAAAGCTACCAAGCAACCATCTAAGATACAACTATTGGTCTCTACTCATATGGAGTGAAAGAGAATGAAGGAAATCAAAGGCTCAGAGAAGAAACTAGTGCATGGGACTAATAGCCCACAAGAACCACAGCTTCTTCAAGCCTTCAAGACCAGAAGAACTAGATGGTTCCTGGCTGCCACTACCAACCGTTCTGACCAGGGACACAATAGAAGGTCCCAAATAGAATGGAAGAAAAATGTAGAACAAAACTCAAATTCCTAAAAAAGGCCAGACCTACTGGACTGATAGAGACAGAGACTAAAGGAATCCCGAGACTATTGCCGTAAGATAACCTTTGAATTTGGATTTGAAGCTATTTCTACAGGTCACCTTTTAGCCAATAATAGATGGGCTTATAAAATAAAGAATATTACCTATGAGTAATGTACCCCCTTAAACAATTATCTATATGAGACCAAATGGTCAACACTTACCCAAAAGCAAAGATGGGAAGGGAAGCTAGATCAATGGAAACAGAAAAAATAGAATAGAAATAATGAGAATGCTGACTAGCATGGAACAATCTGTGTAAAAATCGTTAAATGGAAACCTAATTTGCTTGTAAAGTTTCACCTACAACACTATAAAATATTATTTTTTTTAAAAAAAAAGGTTATGTGATCTTGATGACGTTACCTAGCCCCCTCCACCCCCTTTTTTTCTTTTTGGTTTCTTTATTTGTAAAGTGGAGTGAATAATAGTACCTAGTTTGTTGGATTTTTATGGAAAGAACATGGATTTATACATACGTGCTTTATACAAAGTGCTCCGAGTTGTACAAAGCATATAGTAAGAACTTAATAAATGTCAGCTAAAATCTGGAAAAAAAAAATTATCTGGCCTTTTACAGGAAAAGCTTGCCGACCTGTGCATTAGAGCAACACGGACGGCTCTTGGAAATGTAACATGGAGAGGAAGAAATGCAGGCTTCAGAGCATTATGCCCTATATAGTATGAATTACATACAATTTTACAAACTATACAAAATAGAGCTATACATTGTGTGTGTGCATGTGTATGTGCGTGTAGTAAAAGTGTCAGACAAGGTCTGGGAACACACTAATGCATGATAGCTGTCCCCTTTGGGAACTGAGGATCTCGGGAATGAAACGGGGGAGGGAAACATAGGGGAGCTTACCTTTACCTGTAATATTTTATTTCCTGAAGAAGGAAGGAAGGAAAGAAAGAAAAAGGAAAGAAGGAAGGAATATATGTTTCCTTTTACCCACCCTCCATCCATCCCTCCCTCCCTCATCCTTCACCCCCAGCTTCTATTCCAGACCCACTGATCAAAATCTGTAGGGGACTGAGCCTGAGAATTTATATTCTAAAAATGTTTCTTAAGTAGTTCTGAAGTACAACAACATTTTGGACCTCTGTGCCTAAATTAGCATGTTTGTTTTTAGCACATAGAGACTGCTGTATATAGTCAGCAACTTGCTTCTTCAACTTGACTGACAGGAAGCTCAGGCCCAAATTTAATGTCAGTGAGTTCACTCTGTCTCCAGCTCTTCTAGTTGGTTTCTGTTCTTTGTGAAGTGTATTTTAGTGTCCGTTTTATACGTGTTTTAATCATGGAAGCTTTTAAAGATTTTTCTGGAACATTGGCATTACATTTGCATCCCCCTCCTTGGATTTGAGGTTTTCTAGTATCATCTGGGAGCCCTCGTGGCTCAGTGGTTAAGAGCTCAGCGGCTAACCAAAAGGTCAGCAGTTTGAATCCATCAGCTGCTCTTGGAAACCCTCTGGGGCAGGCCTACCCTGTCCTATAGGGTTGCTATGAGTCGGAATCGAGTAGATGGCAGTGGGTTTGGTTTTAGTATCATTGGTATTAAATATCTTCACAGCTGTATTATTACATTCACCTTCCTCTTCCTTGTTCCTACTGGAGTGTGAATGAGGGAGCCAGTACATGTTCAGCATGTGGACCCGGAACAGAGGGGCTGCCAGAATGCCCAAGAGCTGGTACCTCTACGCTCAAATCACTCACCAAGATGCACGTCAGAATCATCTGCTGAACCATTAAAAAGACGTCTGTGCAAGCCAACCTCTGAGATAAGCTTGGCTTGGACAGATGTCCTTTACAGTGCCTTTACATGTTGATAACATCCAATTGGGTAGGGCCCAGGTCTGGGCAGAGCTCGTTTGAAAGTTCCCCTGGTGATCCTACAGTGTAGCCAGTAGGATCCTACTCTGCTACCACCTCCTCCGTTGATGCTATACACAGATGACCTCCAGCAGGTTAACCATGGTGACTTAGCACACCAGTCAGCCCCCACCCAGCCACCAGGGCCACATGTTCATGAAGGACATTATTTTAGACTCCAGGAAGCTAGGTCTAGGATGTCTGTCAGCAAAGCAAGAGACTAACAAGCAAAATGTGTTGCTATAAATTCAGGGTGTCCAACCTCATCTGGACGCTCCTTGTTCATTGGTGACCTTTGTGTCCCTCTCTTATAAAGCTCACTTATTTGCCCCTTTACAGTCTTTCCTAATTTATTCCCAGTCTGCAGTTCCATCTCCATCCTTCATCCTCTGGAGATGTAATTGTCTTCTGCTTTAGGGAAGACTGAAGCCACCCTGGGAAGGCCCCTTGATTTCCATCTTCTCTTCCTTAAGTTCTCATGCCAAGATGGAGTTAGGAAGTGGAGGTAGGAAAGTGAAGATGAGGACCTGAAATTGGAGGCTGGGGCAGGGATAAGTGGAAGGTGTTGGATGTTAGACTCTGTTGGGCTTTGTAGCTGGAAGGTCTGGAAAGAGTCACGCTTAGAGGTGATGGGGCCGAGGGGCAGGTTTGGAAGGAAACATGATATGCCCTCTTTCAGAAATGCAGTTTGAGGAGCTGGTGAGATGCTCAAGGTCCTCTCCCCCTCCTCCCCCCAAAGGACACCAGCCCAGCACAGAGTTCCATACACAGTGAATGTCCATGTGAGAATGTGGGACTTCCTGGTGGTCTTGCTTACCACCATCACCACTGATGTGCTAACTTCTGTTCTCTTTTCTGACTGTCACTTCCCATTTTCCTAATTCACAATTACACTGATACTTTCTCAAAATGTAAATATCAACACCAAGAAAGGCTTTTGGATTGCAATAGCAATAGTATGTGAAGAATTGCAAAGGTTAAAATTGGACTAGTATCGTGTATGTGGGAAATATTTGATACGTGTATTTATTTGTTTTCTGTTCATATTTCTGTTAGTTGGCATGATAATTCATTTGCTTAAAACACTGTTTGATTATATTATAGTCATTACTACCAGTCAGTAAAAAAATGAATGTGTGTTATACATTTATCTTTTTTCCTAAGGCCCAACCTCCATCTATAAATTTTCATGAGTATTAGAGAGGTGTAGTATCTACTTTAACCTTGCAAAAGATTATTCTGCACAATGCGAATAGAAATAGGATCCCGGTAGACCAGTTAACTAACCTGGAAACAGTTTTATTAGCTCAAGTTCAGTGATATCTGTAGGAAGTTCTGCTCATTATTTTGCAGAGCAGCAATCCAAGACTTTGCACAATTGCTCAGATTGGCTGGCAGGGGGTTGCTAAGATGCTGCTAAACATTAGTTGGAGCATGCATACATGTGAAATTTTCTATCATACGGACATAAACTAGAGAGGAGCATTCCTCTGGGATAAATTTTCTTGGAAAGATATATGGAGGGGAAGATGGCTTCAGTGGATCTGGTGAAGTTACGCTTTCATACTGGCACAGGTGCCAGAGTTAGACCAACTTACGTGCTAAACTGAAGAGAGAGATGAGCAGGATGGAGGTCACGCTGGTGCGCAGGGCCCCTGCCATGTTGCAGTCCACTTTGGAGTTCTTGCAAGAACACACTTGCACCCTGAGGTCTGTGATGTTCGTCATGGGGGGCTTCCCTGAATCTGTCACCATGACTGGCAGGTTGTAGTTGGCTTTGTTCAGATTTTGAAGAAGGCTTACCAGGGCGTGCGTATCTACGGAGACATGGAGGGCCTTGTGAGAGAGGGTTAAAAAAAAAAAAAAGAGTTGCCATAGAGTCAGTTCTGACTCATGCTGACCCCATGTGTGTCAGAGTAGAACTGTGCCCCACAGGGTTTTCAGTGACTGATTTCCAAAAATAGATCTCCAGGCCTTTCTTCTGAGGCACCTCTGGGTGGACTCCAACTGCCACCTTTTGGTTAGCAGCTGAGCGTGTTAATCGTTTGTACCAACCAGGGACTCCGAGAGAGGGTTAGAATTTCCCAAAGAAAAGAATGAGGTTTTGACAACTAAAAGCACACAAAACAGGCATTGCAATTTAATTTATAATCATATGAGTGCTTAGACTTAAATTAACATAAACTAAAATGAAAAATTCATTTCCTCAGTTGCACTAGACACATTTCAAGTGCCCAGTAGCCACATTTGACTGGTGGCTGTCAGCACATTTCTATCACAGCAGAGAGCTGTAGCACATTTCCGTCACTGCAGAGAGTTCTGTGGTTCAGTGCTAAGGTCATCAATTTCAAAGAGACTCATTTTTGTGAAGATGGTTGGGCACCAAAAACTCCCCCCTGCATATTTATTATACCTCAAAAGCCATCTTGACAAAGATCACATTCAGTATCTAGAAAATATCATAGAAGTCCAGCCACCCTAAATGTGTGGGCAGAACTCCCGTGTGTTGTCACAGAGGTGGGTAGGTTTTTAACAGGTTTCCGCCTATAGACCTAGATTTGGGATGGAACCCTCGGCATAACCACAGCATGGAGACTGGGTCTGTAAGAATTCTCTCCACTTTCCTAATCCCGTAAAAAAAACAAAAACAAAAACGAAAAAACAACAACAAACCTGTTGTCATGGGGTCGATTCCTACTGATGAGAATCTTTCATCCCCCAGGCCACTGGGTGGCAGTCAGAAGTGACCACCCACCTGCCCTGTTCTTTGGCCTCAGGCTATTTTCTTTGCTATCACTCAGATGACCAAGGACTTTTTCTTTTTTTTAAACTGGCCCTTCCTGGGCACGAACAGTGCTAAGTATTTAGAAAAAAAAAAATTGAGGATGAGGAAAGGAGTTTAGAAGGCATCTTACCTATTAAATAAAATCAGGCAGGCAAAAAAGAGTGTGATGATATGAAAACAAAACAGATGAAGTATTATCCTCATTGGAAGGTGATGGCAGCAGAAACGGCCAATGTAGATAATCACTCCAGTGAAATGGAGGATTAACTAAAAAAACCTTTTCAGACCTTCCTCAAGTAGAGGAGGAACTCTTGAATGAGAAGGTTCCAGTTGGAAAGAACAGGTTATGATTATTCAAATCAGCTACAGCCATAAGAGCTAGCAAATAAAACACTAACCCCTCAAACAAGAGAAGGGCCACTTTAATTAAAAATAATCAGTGTAACAGAACTCATTCTTTATAAAGCAATAACGTAGACAAACAGGCAAGTAGAATCAATAACAAGAAAAAGGCAGTAATAAAAATAAGATACGAGATAGGGCCATAACAATAGACAGGAGATTTTTTAATAGAAAATTTTATGCACAGTGGTACCATACATGTCCAAAACTTAATGAAATGGGTGATTCCCCCCTCGCCTCAGAGTGGGACCCCTGAGTAGGCCAATAGCAGGATAAATTTATTAGTGCAGACAGCATGCACTAATTTGTGAGTTGTGTGTGTGTGTGTGGCTTTACTAGAAAGCAATGTGAGCATGAACTCAGTTAGCTCACATCAGCCATGGGGGAGAAATTGGCTGAGGCCTTATAGATACAGGGATACTGCATAATTCAATACATTGGTGTTTCAGGTTTAACAAGGCAGATGGAAAAGTTGGGCCACATTTTGAATCTCACCTGCCCATGTGGAAAGACTGGTAGAAAGGGAAATTGCTTGTAAGTTTCATAATTGGGGGGTGGAGGGGAGGAGGACACATGGAAGGAGATAGCAAAGTAGAGCACCAAGGTCATTATGAAGATAAAGTCAAATCGGAGGAGGTCTGCATGATAAAATGGGAGGTGGAGTTTAGAGGCTGAAGACTTTATAAACATCCTTATATCATTGCTTCTCTTTTCTTTACTCTTTTATGGAAGTAGGCAGTCCGTGGAAAATTTCACCAAAGTGTTGGTGAAAGTTAATGTGAATAACTTTCCGAGTCATCTGAGGCAGGAGGGACACCCCTGAGTCCAGAGATGAGGGGGCAGAGGCAGGGACCCTTGGCTTTCAAAGGCCGAAGACTGGGTTAGTTGGCCAATATTCTGTGCAAGCCAGTTACAAGGAGAGAATTTGTAGGGTTTCATTAAAAGAAGAAGGGAAGAGGAAGGATAAAGAATCACGGTCTTGTGCCTGAGGACCTTGGGATGGCAGAAATGCAGAGGTCACAGATTAGTCAAGAGTGGAATGCTGGGGTTGATTTTGGAATAGAAAAGATAAGGGAGGAAGCAAAAGAGAAAATGTGTTTGCATTTATAAGAAACCAATATTCTACATTTCCACAAATTGTATTTGCTGGCTGGTAAGGAACTGTATTTATAATATGTAAATAAGTTGAAATAAACCATGTGGAAATGTTCCAGAGAGTCTGAGAGGAAGAGCACTTTGGGAAAGAGAAACTAAATTCACAGCTCAGAGAATCGTGAGAGAGTGTTTTCACCAGACTTACTGTTGATCTTGGAGATCTTCCAGACTTTATCAGGGACAGCCTGTTTATGGATTTCAAATTTGAAAGGATCTGTGTTTGGGTGAAGATCCTTATCTGATGCTCCTAAAATGACAACACTGAGGTTTTTGGCATCATCACAGACTTCAGCCACTGTGGGGTAGATGAAGGGAGCATTGTCGTTTACGTCTTCCAGAGTTATCAGCAAAGTCCCAGTCCCTGTAGCAGGAGGGTTGCCTGTGGGAGAAAGGGAAGATGTTAGTACACAGCTGATACGCTGCACTAATCATCTTCCAGACACCTTTATTGTTAATAACATGGTTCAAATAGAACTCACAATAATAGCTTGCATTTTTGTACAAAGTTTAGTGGTTACAAAGCCCTTTACCATATGTAAGACTTTTGATTGAAGTTCTTCAGGCATAATACTTTACCTTTAGACTGTTATGCTTCTAACACAAAAGTTATACTGACACTTTGAAAGTCACTCAAAGAATAGAGATAGCAAGCGAGACTTTTACTTGCATGCTTTAACCTAACTAGGGAGTTGACTATGAGGCATTGGTGGTTCAGCGGTAGAATTCTCGCCTTCCATGCGGGAGAACTGGATTCCTTTCCCGGCCAATGCACCTCATGTGCAGCCACCACCTGTCTGTCATTGGAGGCTTGCATGTTGCTATGATGCTGAACAGGTTTTAGTGGAGCTTCCAGACTAAGATGAACTAGGAAGAAAGGCCTGGAAATCTACTTCCAAAAATCAGTCAATGAAAATTCTATGGATCACAACGGTCTGATCCACAACCGATCATGGGGATGGTGCAGGACTGGGCAGCGTTTCATTTTGTTGTGCATGGGGTCGCTGTGAGTTAGGGGTGACAAGGTAGTTGGCTAAAAAGAGAAAGATCTAACCCAGGGGGTTTTCATCTGTGGGTGAACAAGGTTCTCAGATGACTAACAGTGCCGTTGCTTGGGGCTGGAAAGGCCAACCTGCCAGGACAGGGCAGGTTTAGAAAGGCTTGTTATGAGAACCAGAGCCATTAGCTGGCTCCTGAGGCAGTGGAAGCAATCATAATGCAATCTTTGGGCCTTATTTTAAAGCCTTGCTTTGTCGATAGTTCAGGGTCTTCCTGCAGTGTTTTTCATTTTAGAGAACATTATTTTATGAAGCCCTTATAATTGCCTATCTCATAATGTCTTTCACTTAAAGGATGGGTGTTTAATGTTAATAAGACTTGGCTTGACTTTATTTACCTTTCTCTAAAGTTATTTTTAATCATCTGTGCGTTAGAGGTTTGCTCTTGGGATGAACCATTCATTAATAGCTTCTAATTTTCTGCCACAAATAGTAAGTCTTTATTTAAAAAAAATACCCAAAACATACAGGGATGTCATGTGTGTCAAAGTAGAACTGTGCTCTATGGGGTTTTCAATAATTGTATGGGTTTGCCTTATTCCAAAAGGATTTGATGCACCTCTGATTTTATACATATGCAGTACCGATCTGATGTATGGCTCCATCTTATTCTTCCTCTCCTTATTTGCTCTTGACCAGATTCCCAAGCTTAATTTTCTTTCATATCACCCTATATTAATTTTTTGAAATGCACACTGATTTTAAAGTTCAGTTATAGAATCACATGGGGGTTAGAGGGGTAGTGGGTATTCGACTGAGGTTAGAGTCCAGCTGTCAAGCACAGGCAAGGCGAAGGGTGACAGATTCTGTCGGTAAAGAAATGACAAGCTCTTTTAGATTCAGACAGTTTATTACTTGCACAGACAGCAGAAGGCAGAGTTGGCAAGGTGGATCTTGTACAGGTGACACCAAAACAAAAGGGGCCAGATGCTGCAGCACGGACGAAGGAAAATGCCGTTGCTGAGTCTATGCCCTACTGCCCTGCAGTTTGTAGCCTGCAGATGTACTAGGGGGTGGGCTAGAGCCTGTGTCTCATCAGAACCTGGAGGTGGTGAGAAACTGTGTTAGGGCAGCCTCCCAGGAAGGATAGGGAGGTGAGTATGGCCTTGTGCCTGTGGTTCCGAGAGGATCCAGGAGGATCGCAGGGCATTCTGCCAAAACTCGGAGAACTGGGATGCAGGCCTTGCCTACGTGGCCTAGGTGGATACGTGCAGAGTCATCAGGCACCATCGCGGAGCTGTTCCCTACAGCAGGGTATACTGAAGGATGGCAAGGGGACGAAGCTGGAAAGATTGGGTGGGGCCTTGGGTCTTGACTAGCATGACAAGGAGCTTCTACTCATTCTGTGTGGTGTGGGAAGCCACCTGAGGTTTTTCACTGAGGTAGTGGAACAATCTGATCTTAGGTACTATTGACTTTTCATTGTGGTGAAATATACATAACAAAACATTTGCCATTTCAACTATTTTTATGTGTACAATTCAGTGACATTAATTACATTCACCATGTGCAACCATCACTACTGTTTCCAAGTTTTTCAATCACCCTTCACAGAAACTCAATGCCCATTAAGCAACTCCCGTTTCCCCTCTGCCCCCACCCATGGTAACCACGAATAAACTGTTGTCTCTATGCCTTTGCCAAGTCTAGATATTTCATTTAAGTAGGATCATACAATATTTGTCCTTTTGTGTCTGACTAATTTCATAGTGTTTTCAAGGTTCATCCACATTTTAGCATGTATCAGAACTTCATTTCTCTTGATGGCTGAATTATAGTTGATGGTAGGTGTAGATCGCATTTATTTAGCCATTCATCTGTTGATGAACACTTGGGTTGTGTCCACCTTTTGGCTATTGTGAATAGTGTTGCAGTGAACAGTGGTTGATCTGACTGATTTTTAGAAACACAACAGTGATATTGACAGAGGGGTAAGACATTGTAAGCAGGGAGACCAGCAATAGATGAGTGAGCCATGGTGTGAGTAGCTTGAACAGGAAAGAGCTGTCTTGCCTTGGTGATCGGCCCTCCTCTGAGGCTGCAGGAGAAAAGCAGCTTGGTAGTAGGGAATGGCAAGACAACGACCTAAGCTTGGACTGTGTTGATAGCTGGTCAGATTCAGTGCACCCACTTGTGCAGAGCTTAGGAGAAATGCCAGGGCTGAGAGTCAGGGGAGTCATCAGTGTACAAATGCTTTTGAAAGCTTCCTATCAAATTAGTTACCCAAGATGACAATGCAGAATGGCGGAAGGGTGGAATCCTGGGAAACACCAAAGTTGAAATAGCAGATGATAGTTTTGCAGAAGATAGGGAAGAGCTGAGTTGGGAGAGGAGGCAGTGATCATAATTCAATGTGTTAATGAGTCCCAAAAGGATAAGGAAAAAAGAGAAGTAATGGGATTTTGCATGGAGAACATTATTGGTGACAGTATTGGGGAAGAAGGGCTTGAAGGAAGATGAGGGGTGAGTCAAGAAGCATCAAGAGCAGATCTTCTTTAGTGGGATGGGTGGACTTGAAATATATCCACACCCAAAGGCAGTACCGAGTAAACATTCACATAAATATCTGCTAAAATAGGAATGCGCATGCAATTAAGCATCAGAAGGCGATTTCTAATGGTGGCATATCATCAACTTTAGTTAGAGTAAGAACTCAAAAGAAATGCATAATTACTCTGAAGTTGGTTTTTCAGTGTCAGCTTTAGCCATTTGGTTGAATTTCTTTATTGAAAGATTATCTTTCTCTTTTTATTGAACTAATTGGATATTTCAGAAGAATTCATTATTTTTTTTCACTCTGAATAGATTATGAATTGAAGTCATTTAGTCAAATGGATGAGAAGGCATTATGACCGTATGAAATATGGTCATAAGAACTGGCCTTTCATGAACTTAATTATACTACTGTCTTCGATTTCCCATGGATTACTCCCAGACAAGGCTGGTGATGTCTTTTTCTGAAGTCGGTACAATGAGCTTGTTTCTTTGGGTGATGGGGTGAAGATGGGATTCCCAAAATCCCCAGAGAAAAAGCCTCTCCTCCCTTTTTATATGTACAGGGTAGAGAAAATAACCTTCCACAATTTAAGTGTTATTCCAAATGTAATGATTTTTCACATGTCCTTTTGGCTTCAATAGTTTCCTGGGCCCAGAAAGTACCGCGGCCCTTCAGTGTTTTCGCCAGGCGTATAGCAACTGTCCCTCCTCTTCCCTTTCTGTCAGCAACCCTCACCCACCACGGGGTATAACCAAAAATCAGAACCCAGTGTGGTTAGGGCTCTGCCTCTCTGTCATGGATTTCCTATTTCAATAGGGAAAAAGATTCAATTTGAGCAAAGCTCCCAGGACGTAGAGCTAGGAACAGTACCTCCGCTTGGCTGCGAAGATTATTCTTTTTGCTTGTAGCCCTCATGCAGTCAACCAATGGCATAAATTGGCAAAAGTGGTCCTCATTTCCTTTCTTATGGATCTGGATTACTGAATCTGTTTGCAAGGACTGTGCCTTTAGGCCACGGAGGTGCTTTAACTTCTTGGGCCTGACACCCTGCCCATGGTCTTCCTGGTTCTGACCTCAGCTTGGCCTCGCCTCTGGCGTCCTTGCTCCCATCTCAGCACTGACGGCTTGTAATAACCTCAGCACATTACATGACCAAACAGGAGCAAATTGATTCCACTGTCTCATTTCAAACACAGACAATTTCACTTTTATTTCCCCGCTCCAAGCAGTGGTAACTGCCTGTGTGATGGCCGAGTCAGCAGCCCTTGCACGGCCCCACGTGGGTCTTCTCCACACTGTTCTGGCCTGGCAACTCTAAGTCTGGTAGGTTCACTATTTTACACTTGGGCTTTTGTGCTCTCAGTTTAGTGGGGATGTTGTTGTTAGGTGCTGTCAAGTTGGTTCTGACTCATAGACGCCCCACGTATAACAGAACGAAATGTTCCTTGGTCCTGCGCCATCTTCACAATAGTAGATATGTTTCAGCCCATTGTTGCAGCCACTGTGTTGAGGGTCTTCTTTTTCTCTGACTCTCTACTTTATCAAGCATGATGTCCTTCTGCAGGGACTGGTCCCTCCTGATAACATGTCCCAAGTACATAAGAAGAAGTCTCTCCATCCTCGCTTTTAAGGAGCATTCTGGTTGAACTTCTTCCAAGACAGATTTGTGTGTTCTTCTGGCAGTCCATGGTATTCAGTATTCTGGCATTCAGTATTCTTTGCCAACACCATAATTCAGAGGCATCAATTCTTCTTCAGTCTTCCTTAGTCATCATCTAGGGGTGGGTACAATCTCATTGTACCAACTTCATGCATATGAGGCAATTG